CAAGTTACCGACCCTTTAAAGGTTGGAAATTCCACATAATTTGTACTCTGAGCAATAGTGTGGTTTGCAAGTATCATTGGATAGAGGGGTTCGTTAGCGACGCGTAGGAAAAAACGGAATTAAATTCTAAGTTCGGATGAGCTCAAACGAGACAAAAACGTAAAGTTGCGCAAAGCTGCCAAAGTCGTGACTTAAAAGTCGCGACTCGCGACTTAAAAGTCGCTACTCGCGAGAAAAAACTGCTGAAAATCAGTTTTTTTTTTTATGGTTGGATTTTGGTTGATTTACTGTTGGAGTTTGGTTTATGTTGGTTGATAATTAGATGAATCATGTTTTATTCAACTCTATAAATAGCTAACCTATTCATCTATGGAAGGCATCCAACATTTTATGTAATTTATCATTTATCTTTCAAACTTTCTACATTTGTAAGTTCGTATTTTGAAGTATATAAGTTTGAAGATTGTTGATGTGTTGAGACATTAAGTTTGCAATTCCTCTTGCTCGTGAATCAATAGTAAGTTTTCTTTTCATTTTATGTTATCAAGGGTTTATTTCCATAAGAATTTGTATGTTCAAATTATTATGATCAACTAATTTCCTAATTAGGGTTAAGGGATAATCATTTTGGTTTATTAACATTTATAAGTATTTTTATTACTCAATCTTTACAAATTTTATTAATCTTATGGTTAAATGATTGATCACCATTTTAATCTACATAATCAATTTCAAAATCGATAGAGGCGAAATTGATAGAACTTGATTTGTTTAGAATAGACATGTTCGAAAACGCATTGTTTATGTGTTAACCGTTTTACTAATTCACTTGTTTAAAGTTCATCCGTATATTACGAGAGTTAGTATGGATAAACTACTAGATGAGTAATTAAGTGAACCGGTTAACCAAGTAATAAACCGGAATTGATTATCCCCAATACCCTAAACTTTTAAATTCATTATAAATTATATTTTTCATATTATTCATTTGAAAGTTTTTACGAGTAAAACGAATTTTTCGTTTGAAAGTTTTACGAGTAAAACGACCTTTTTGTTTGAAAGTTCTTACGAGTAAAACAATTTTATCGTTCGAAAGTTTTTACTAGTAAAACGAATTTTTCGTTTGAAAGTTTTACGAGTAAAACGATAGCATTAATAATAGCTTGGGATATTATTGTCATTTTAGTTATTTTATAATTGTTAAAAGTTGTAAAATTTAGTTTAAAAATCCAATCATCAAATTGAATTAAAATGTTTAGGATTATTTTCTCTTTTGTAAATTGAATAAACGTTCAATTTAGTCCGACTAATCTTCCTTTGAGAATGATCCGAGTCGGGTAACTCGGTTACTTCTTGCCCAAAAATATTGGAAACATCTATGTGTTACAGAAAAGAAAATAGAATGCTATTAGTAGGCTGGTGACTGAGCAAAACCGCATCTGTGAAACAAAGGAAGAACTAGAAGAACATATCTTCTCTTAGTATGAACGTTTGTTTACTACTGAGGGATCCACCGGTGGGCAGAAGCTTTTGCAGCATATCACGCCCTCAATTACTCCACATATGAATGAAGACATGCAAGCCCCTGTTACTGAAGAGGAGATCAAGCATGATTTGTTCAGCCTCAGCCCCAAGAAAGCACCGGGTGTAGATGGTATGTCTGCCTTTTTCTTTCAACATTTCTGGCCATTGATTAAATTGGAGTTGTGTAAGGCTATTGGGAATTTTTTCCGTTTTGGTAGATTGTTACGATAAGAATCACACCTTAATTACATTTATACCTAAATGCATTAATCCAGTGAGCATCAGTCAATTAAGGCCTATTAGCTTGAGTGGAGTAGTGTATAAGTTGATTTAAAAAATCTTGACCCTATGATTGAAAAACTGCCTTTATCTTTGTATTGGGCAAACTCAAGCAACTTTTATACCAGGTAAATTGCTGAGTGATAATGTTATGATTGCCAAGAGGTTTTCCATTTTTTGAACAAACATAGAACATTGAAGCACATATACATGGCAGTGAAATTAGACATGCTAAAAGCATGTGACAAAATTGAATGAAAGTGCATTAATCAGACAATGTTGAGAATGGGGTTTGGTCGGAAATTTGTGCAGTGGGTCATGACATGTGTTTCTACCTCTTCATTTCCTGTGTTGCTTAATGGTGAAACATATGGGTATTTTAAAGCTTCTAGGGTTCTGAGGCAAGGAGATCCATTGTCTCTATATATGTTTATTCTTGTTTGGGATCTGAGACAATGAGATCCATTGTCTCCATATCAGTTTTTTCTTGTGTCTGAACTTCTCTCAGCTTTGATTAATAACCAAGTGGATAGAGGCCAGTTTAGAGGGGTGTCTTTGGCAAATACTTGTTTTGTCCTTTCTCACTTGTTGTTTGCAGATGACATTTTGATTTTCTGCAAGAATGACACTCATCATGCAAGGGTGGTCATGGAGATGTTGCATATGTATAAGCAGTTTTCAGGGCAAGTTTGTGATGTTTTTAATGGTATCCAACTACAAAGTTCTACTAGGTATCTTGGCTTGCCCCTAGGGATTGTGAAGTCTAAGAAAGAGGTGTTTAGCTATGTAGTGGATACTGTGAGGAAGAGGATTGCCAACTGAAAGACCATTTATCTATCTACTGCTAGAAGGGAGGTTTTAGTCACTGCAGTACTCAATGCTCTACCTATTTTTGTGGTGACCTGTTTCAGGCTGCCAGTAGGGACTTGCAAGGAAAGCCCTAGTCTGTTTGCTCAATTTTGGTGGAGCAAAGGTGAAGATAGATCACAGGGAATACACTGGAAAAGATGGAGTTTGGTTACAACACCAAAGGATAGAGATTGGGTTTCAAGGATGTTAGTCTCTTCAATGAAGCAGTTCTGGTGAAGCAGCTATAGAAAGTAGTGACACAACTAGAATTATCGATGAGTCGAGTGATCAAGAGCAGGTACTTTCCTACACATTCTATTTTTGAAGCTAAATTAACACAAAACTCTTCTTGGCACTGGAGATGCTGGTGGCAGATAAAGGGGCTATTACAAGAAGGGCTGAGGGTGGAAGTGAAAAATGGAGCCTCTTTAAAAGTTAATTACTTAAACTGGATACTGGGAGTGATGGGGTAGAAAATCACATCTTTTAAATGAAGAAAACTGCAATCAATTGCTAGTGAAGGATTTGATAGATGCCATTGGGAGGAACTAGAATGAGCAAAGAGTGATGGAGGTGTTTGGTGAGGAAGATAGCTTTGCTGTTCTGGCTATTACTACTCTTAACCCAACTGAGGAGGATAAATGGAGATTGAGAATGGGAACAAATGGGAGGTTTTCAGCTGCTGCATCCTATTCTTTTTTTTTTTATGAGCAAGAAGCTGCAACAATTGGACATAGCAGAAGGTAGAACCACAACTGAAAGGGCAAGGAAAGTTAAATAGAGAAGCTGGAAGTTGAGAGTCCAACGTATTAAACATTTTTGTGTGGAAATAATATAAATGTCAAAAAATGTGGTATCTTAATTGATGTGATGTGCAACAGTTGTGGGGAGGAAGCAACGACAGTTTAACATATTTTTTTCACGTGTAGGAGAGCTCGAACAGTCTGGAAACAAGCACTCAGTTGGGATGGCATGGACAGCGATGAGTGCAGGTTTAGGGATTGGTGAGGGTTCATATGTTCAGTTGATAACTGGGGGATTTCGGAGGCCAGGATTCAATTGACGACCTATATACTATGGTGACTCTGAAAGTCGCGTAACTTGTGGAAGTTTGAAGGTATTTGGACCCAGAGTCGCTTGGGGAAATTTGAAGGTATTTGGAGACCCAAGAGAAATATAGTCCAAGCTGCGATGCGAGACTGGACGGAATTTAGGGAGGTGAATGCAGGTTTCAGAGCGATCGCGTACAAAGCTAGCTAGGTCTGGTTTGCAGTATAATGGCTAGTTTTGTTTGATTGATTTCACAAGTTTAGTTGTTACCTTTGTTTTATACTGCTAGAGGACTCAGTGTTTAGCCGACTGCCTCTAGTCACGTGCATGTATTTCTTTTCTTTGTCTAGGCCGTATTGTTTGTTGTACGGTTCTCTCTAGCGTTTCCAGCCCTCGGTTGTCTATTTTTGATCGGGCAGTGCCCGTGTCTGTGTTTTGTCGTTGTACAAATTCTGTATTTATTTATTTAGTTGTTCTACGAGTATTCCCTATCATTTCTAAAAAAAGAAAATAAAATAAAAAAACCTCCTGAACACAAGAAAGGTTTAACTGATTTAATGGCCGCATTCATTTTCCTTGTTTTGCATTGCAGAATTAAGGGAAAATAATTAGGGTTTGATTGTTTATGAAATAATTTGTTCAAAATGAGTTATTTTAGTTAACCATAGTTAATACTGAAAAGGTAGTAAAGTTAGTTGTTAGTGGAATTTTAATAATGTATTAAAATAATATTTAAAATAAAATGATTAAAATTGATTTGATGTAAAAGTAAGAGATACATGATTGGAAATGATAGGTAGTTAAAAATATGTGAGTGAATGAATAGTGAATTAAAGTTGATGTGATGTGTAAGAATGATTAGTTTGTATTATTTAATTATATGAATAATATTAAAGATAGTGGAGTTGAATTAAAGTTGAGTTAAATTTTAAGTTGAAATAAAAGTGGGTAAAAAATTAATCCATAAACAAGCAAGCCCTTAATTTCCCGAAAAATCAGAAAGGCAAAAACTAATGACATCTCTTTCCCCGGGAGTAGTAGCATAAATAAATAAATGTCAGGGCCAGAGTGTGGGCCTACAGGTGGATCGTGCAACGTGCCACGATACCAAACTTGGCTTGGCTCCTTCAATTTCTCGCGATACAATTATCCCTTTCATTTCACTCTACAGATACAGTTCTTCTCCTCCTCCAGGCTCCAACACAGAACCTCTTCTTCGTCTCTTTTGCTTTGTTTTATGCACTCAATAATTAATTACTCACTTCCCCTCCATCACTTCCATTCTCTCGACCATAACCATGGCGGATGACGAGCCTGTGCTCTACCTTCATGGAGATCTACAACTGCACATTATCGAGGCCCGCTCCCTCCCCAACATGGATATCATCTCCGAGCGCCTGCGCCGATGCTTCACTGGCTGCGGCGCCTGCCAACCCACCGCCGACGGAGACGGCGATGCAAGCGGCGGCGGGAGCACTGACCACAGGAAGCTCCACCACCACCGTAAGATCATCACCAGCGACCCCTACGTCACTATCTCCGCCCCCCAGGCCACCCTGGCCCGCACGCGCGTGCTCTCCAACTCCCAGAACCCCCGGTGGGACGAGAAGTTTCATATCGCCTTGGCTCACCCCATGGCCTTTCTAGATATCCGCGTCAAGGATAATGATGTTTTCGGGGCCGACACCGTAGGGAAGGCCTTGATTTCCGCCGAGAAAATCGCCTCCGGTCAGGAGATCTCCGGTTGGTTCCCTATAATTTCTTCCACGGGGAATCCCCCCAAACCAGACACGGCCTTGCACCTTCAGATGAAATTTATTCCCTGCGACAAGAACCCACTATACAGCCATGGCATTGCGGGCGACCAATTGCATAGAGGGGTAGGGCACACTTATTTTCCCCTTAGGAAAGGCAACTCCGTGACCCTATACCAGGACGCACATATCAGGAATGAGGACAAATTGCCCCGGATTGAGTTAGATAATGGGCTAGTTCGCGAGCATGCTCGGTGTTGGGAGGACATTTGCCACGCCATAGCCGAGGCACATCATTTGGTATACATTGTGGGGTGGTCCGTGTTTCATAAGATTAAGCTGATTAGGGAACCCACGAGGCCTCTGCCTCGAGGAGGGGACCTGACTCTTGGAGAATTACTCAAGTATAAGTCTCAGGAAGGGGTTCGAGTTCTGCTCTTGGTTTGGGATGATAAAACTTCACACGATAAGTTCTTCCTTAACACTGTATGGCTGCCATCTATGCGATATGTTATTTTATTGCTTAATAATCCATATCTTACGCACTTTCTGTCAGTTGCTGAATTCTGGAAATGTTCGGTAGATTTATTTTTGCGAACTGAGTATTGAGGAATACTTAAATCTGGATGCGTACTTTTCATGTTCCAAGTCTGTTTAGGATGTTGAATTGGAACTATTGTAGGTGAAAATTTTCTGGTTTTTAATTTTCAACTTCTGTACCTAGCAACAGACATGTATTCCTTATTGCTATGCATATTTTCTTCAACATCCCATTCCAGGCCCATTTTGATGTTCTAAATTTATTTGGGATTAATTCTGTGGGTTGTGTCGACTTCCCCTTCTCATCAATTGTATTGCGATCTATTTAGTTTGATATAGTAGTAATGCTTGTACATTTCATTTTATGTTATGTTAATTCTGACTAAAGTCTCTTATATTGTGGATCCCAATTTACTCTTGATAAGAGTTGGTGATGTTTTTACTCTTTTATCCCCTAGAAATGCACAAGATTTTTGTGAGGAGCTTAATTTTGTAATATATTATAACTTCTCTTGGTAGTTCCATGGCCCTGCTAGGATTTCACTTCAAAAGAATTATTGCAACGGAAAATATGACTTCTCAACACTGGTGTTTGCATACATTTGTGCGACTGTGACATAGTTTCTTCCTTTTGCTAGTGCTTGTAGAATCTACAGCAATATCTGGCAATTTTTATGACATTGCTTTGATGCAGGGTGGAGTGATGAAAACACATGATGAAGAGACCAAAAAGTTTTTTCGACATTCATCTGTTATATGCGTTCTTTCACCACGTTATGCAAGCAATAAACTTAGCTATATGAAACAACAGGTAGACCTTTTCTTACTTTAATCTTTTTGATAACTGGAGGCATATTACTAGGCTCTGACCTTTTAAGATTATCTAATTAAAATTTTATGTAGGTACGAGAGTGAGGTGTATTTTGCAGTAGTTATTATGTTTACAGAATGGTTCAGAATGTCTAGGAGCATTTTGGATTCAATATGAGAGAATATTTCATGATTTTTTTCAGATGGTTTCTGTGAGAAGACAAAAAGTTATAAAGTTAGAACCGAGAGAAGTGATGTTATTTATTTATTTAATGAAAGGGTGTGTTGTGGGAATGCTGTTGAAAGCAGTATCTGGCTCAGCAGCACATCGTGCTAAAGTTTATTAGAAATTTACCTATTTATCATGGTGTACTATGTATCTTAAGTGATTATAGACCAACCGATAGTCTGATTCATATCTTGTAGCTGTTCTTTCTCCCCATAAATCATGACTTACTCTTGTAATCATGCTTCCAGGTTGTTGGAAATCTTTTTACGCACCATCAGAAGTGTGTTCTTGTGGACAAACAAGCGTATGGCAATAACCGAAAGATTATTGCTTTTTTAGGTGGTCTCGATCTGTGTGATGGTCGTTATGATACACCTGAACATCGACTATTCCATGATCTTGAAACTGTTTTCAAGGACGATTTTCATCAGCCAACATTTCCAGTGAGTAGCTTTATGCTTCCATTGCCTTTTTTTAGTGCTCAGTGCTTTGCGTGTCATTTTTTCGTTTTGATTGAAGTCCCAGTTGGATTGCTACATGGAAGTAGACTATCTGATTAACATTTCAGTGGTTTCTTTATAAGTTTATTTTGATCTCATGCTGTTTGCAATCTTGGTAACCTATTTTAGGAAGGAACAAAAGCACCAAGGCAGCCATGGCACGATTTGCACTGCCGAATTGATGGGCCTGCTGCATATGATGTTCTTATAAACTTTGCTCAACGTTGGCGGAAAACAACCAAGTGGAGAGAATTTAGTTTACTTAAGAAAAAGATGTCCCATTGGCATGATGATGCCATGATAAAAATTGAGCGTATTTCATGGATACTGAGTCCTGCTCTCTCTCTTTCCAAGGATGGAACTTATAGACCTTGCCTGGAGGATGATCGTAAACTACATATGGTCAGAGGGGATGATCCAGAGAACTGGCATGTGCAGGTTAGAAGCCCCCAGCTTGGACAAGTGAAACAGTGTTTAAATTCCTTTTATTTTTTTAAATCTTTTGATAACCTTTTCTCTTCATTTTTTTTTTTCTCTTCTTCTAGATCTTCCGGTCCATTGATTCAGGTTCAGTCAGAGGCTTCCCAAAATTCTATGATGAAGCTCAAGCTCAGGTTATCAAATGAAAACAATCAAAATGCCTCTCAGCTCCTGTATTTTAGGCTATTTGTAACATATTCAGCTTTATTTTTATTGCAGAACCTTGTCTGTTCCAAAGACCTGGTGATTGATAGGAGCATTCAAACAGCATATATTCAGGCAATAAGATCTGCCCAGCATTTTATCTACATTGAAAATCAATACTTTCTTGGCTCTTCATATGCTTGGCCAGCATACAAAGATGCAGGTATATATAAAGTGTCTCGTTAGTCTTACCTGGAAATGCATTGAAGTTCAAAATTCTAATCATTAGATAAGCTTACAGTTAAAAGATATTTTTGGATTCTGCTGGATTTAACTATGTACCTGCTTAGATGATACTGGAATTTTGATCTTGTTTAATGTTTAATGGAAGCAGTAATTTAGAAAAGAAAAAATATTGGGACTGCTATATGATAAGTTCACTTTCATACTGTTACCTACTAGTTTAATGATTTACTACTTACCAGGGTACTCTCAAATGAAAAATTCTGTCCCTCGTGACCTATTTTTCTGTGTGCTTCAACGTCACCAGTTAGTTTCATTCCAAATTTATGTATCTGAAGTCACTTCTTTTAATGGTAGGAGCTGATCATTTGATTCCAATGGAGTTGGCAATGAAAATTGCAAGTAAAATAAGAGCTAAAGAGAGATTTGCTGTATATGTTGTTATACCAATGTGGCCTGAGGGTAATCCCAACGATAATGTTATGCAAGAAATTCTTTTTTGGCAGGTAATAAAGCTGGGTTCTGCGATCAAATTTCATTTTCTTCATGATGTAAAATTTTTTCCTTGGTGCATGTGTCAGATGTGAAAATAGCCGACTACTAGAAGCTTGTTTAGTTATATGCATTTTGTACATGAAATAATTTAGCTTGATGTTGGATTTAGCAATGCAAAGATATGATATAAAATGTTGCATATTTGTTTTCAAACGACATTTTGTTAGATTGTGAGAGTTCAATGTCTGTTCCATACATTATAAAGAGACGTATATTACTAAATTACTAATACAATGAAAATTCTTACTCCATAAACAAAGAATTGGTAAGGCTGCTGGAGAGATGTCTCATAATAAATTATTGGCACTATGAGTTAATTCATTTTCTTCATGGCTCCAGAATAATTTGCTACTTTTGAAGCCATCCTGTGTAAGGGTTTAAGATATATTATTTCATCTCTATCTTAGAACAAACTCTGGTTGGTCCAAGATTGCCACCTATTGTAATTTGGCTACATTAGCTGTACTGAGAAAATAACAAGGAGCACTTTATATGAATTTTTGGCAAAGTAACATTCATTCACTAAAATGCTCTTCATGTGTCTTTTTATTTGATAGAGCCAAACAATTCAGATGATGTATCAAATAATCGCTAAGGAGATCAAACACATGCAACTTCTGGATGCACATCCACTAGACTATTTGAATTTCTTTTGTCTTGGCAACCGGGAGCCTATCGCAGGTACTGCTGCTGAGTCTGCAGATGGCGATAAGGTAGTTCTCCTAACACAAGAATAATTTTGCTTATGTATTCTTTAGCGTTGGTCCCATGAGAACCAGAATAAACGAGGCAGATAGTTAATGCATATCATATCGACCGATTTTTTTCCATCTCATATTAACCAAAAATTTCTATTGTTTCGAATGCAAATAAAGTTCGTACTTATCAGAGATTAATGAAGCAAACCCTTGCATATCATGCTTTAATCACTATGATTCCATATATCTGATGGATTTACCTTCACACTTGTGCCTTAAAACTAGAATTTTTGTTTCATCTATCAAAAAAAATAAAAAATAAAAAATAACAATAATGCATCATCAACTCAGGTGTCGGATTCACAGAAGTTTCAGCGTTTCATGATATATGTGCATGCCAAAGGAATGATAGTGGATGACGAGTACGTAATAATAGGGTCCGCAAATATAAATCAAAGGTCAATGGCCGGCACGAAAGACACGGAGATAGCCATGGGAGCATATCAGCCTCATCATACTTGGCAAAAGAAGCAGCAACGTCCATGTGGCCAGGTTTTTTGTCCTCTTTGAGATATTTTGATACTGCTTTTGCAATGATGTGTTAATATTTTCCATTTTGCTCAAAAAATTCAATATAACTTAAAACCTAACAGGACATGATCCTAGGTGAATGTTGTAATTGTAAACATATCACCTAAAACTAAATTCTAAGATAAACATAAATTTAAAAGCATTGAGAAATAAGAATTACTAAAAACTAAAATATATATATCAATGAACATTTAAAAGTTTGAAAATGAATATTAAAAGGTTAAATTTTCCAAAACCCTGTATTTTTGTCAAATTCTTAACTCATTGCATCTTCAGGTTTATGGATATAGAATGTCCCTCTGGGCCGAACACCTTGGAACTGTCGAGAAATGTTTCAATGAACCAGAGACACTCGATTGTGTGAGGAGAGTGAATGAAGTTGGTGAAGAAAATTGGAAAAGGTATGCTAGCGATGATTTGACGCTATTGCAAGGCCATATTCTCAAGTACCCTATGGCAGTCGATGTTGAAGGGAACGTGAGTTCTTTGCCAGGACATGAGAACTTTCCGGATTTGGGGGGCAGAGTCCTCGGGACTCATTCAGCTACTATACCTGATGTCTTGACGACATGACGTTGACCCCACCATGAGACTGTTGGATCGATTCATTCCGTTGTTGGTGTTGCAGGAGTTGATTGTAGTTTCATTTTTTTTTTCTTTTTCTTTTTCCCCCATCATTTCTCTCTTGATCTCTCTTAAATAAGAGTTTGAATGTTGTATTTCACTCCTGTTGATTCACTGTGTACAAATTGTGCCTAGATGTATGAACGTAGGGGACTAGTGAAAGAAAGTGGCGTGAATGAAGTCTGGGATTGTTGTCATTTTGTGGTGCACCATGTTGAACTCCCGAACAAGATTGCAGATCATTTGTATAATATCCCTTGTGTGAATATCCTATGGAGAATTTCATCATTATTTTGTGTAATTTATATATCCCTCCATATCAGTTTTTCTATAAAACTAGATGGTTGGTTTTCTTATCGAACCAACCACCAATGGGACAGCTCCACATGGGGCTGTTCCACATGCTTTCATGTGGGACAGCCCCATGTGGAGTTGTCCCATTGGTGGTTGGTTCCATAAGAAAACCAACCATCTGGTTCCTTAGCAAAATTGCCCTCCATATATATTAATTCAAAACGTGTTGAGCTTAGGTGGTAGATTCTCACGCTTCGGATGCTGACATGGCGAAAATCTATGTTTCGTGATGTTTTTACATTATTTTTGCTCTGAAATTAGGTTTGGTATTAGACATAAATAACTTTACACATCTATACTTATATTAAAAGCTATACTATTTACTAAATGTAGTATGTAGAATAGTCAACCTTAATTAATGATTTGCTATTTTTATCAAGTATTTAATTAATGCATCTAATATTTTTGGTATGCAAATTAAATTAGCATTTAATTAGTTCCTAAAATATTGGGTATGCAATATTAATTTAGGAATATCCATGTATTTCCTAAAATGTTGGTATGCAATACGTAAAAGAAGATTTTTTAATTTTTTTTAAATATAAAATATTGCAACACGTAAAACTATTCCAGTTATTTTTTTATATTATTTTACATATAAAATCTAATCAATATTTAATGCATCCTGCAAAATTGGATTTAGTTTAATTCTCCATACAATTGGTTATAACTTTTGCAGTTGTACTTTATTTATTTATTTATTTTACACTTTTAAATTAATGAAGCTTTCCGAAAATACCAAATCAAATGATTTATGAATTTTTTTTTTTACAATTAAAAATATATATACCCAGCTTAAAAAACTCATCGCATAGATATGGACGAGTTTAAGAAAAATTTCATAACCTAGCTTATAAAATTCCATCTCCACGAGTCAAAAAAATCACATAAATCACATCCCTTTATCGTAACAACTTTAAAGGTAAATAAATAAAAGTCTAATTACTACTATAAATCCATTATCTATATAGATTTTTTAAAAATTCAAATTTCACCTGTCTAATTACTAATATTTTAGATACTTTTAAATATTATTTGTATAATTTTTTTTACACATTTGCTCTCTATATATATACATATATGGATGTTAAATGAAGAATTTTTATACATATTTTCCTTACGGCTAGTTTAGAAAAATTTAGGTAGCTTCAAACATTATTTGTGAATAATAAATAATATTTAAGATGTTTTTATAGATGTTATAAAATATTTTAAGTATTTTAATATTTATATATCACACTTAAAAAGAATATTTTTCCAAAAAAAAAAACATTAAATACACAGTGTAAATGCTAATAGAAACAGTCTTCAGTGTTCGTTTTTGATTTTGTCAAAACAAATCTCATAAAACCGGTGAAGTCAAAATTTGTACGTAAAGTCTATTATACTAAAAAAAGGTAGATTCAAAATTCATAATCTAATTTCTTTTATTTTTTCTTATCTAATTCCTTCTTATTATCTCATTGTATAGAAATCTGTTCTGATTTTGTTCAATTCTCTAATTGTATTTGAATTATATCCCATAAAATCCGTTTAACAAAATAAATCCCATAACATCCGATAAGTAAAAAAAATACGTAAAATCTTTACTAAAATAAAAAAGACTTTATTTATTATCTAACTGTATGGAAATCTGTTCTGATTTTATAGTACGTACTACAAATTGTGCACTCATATTCAGGAGCTACTTAACGGGCAAGCTATGTGGAAATAACTCATTTAGTGCTTCTGTCTTGTGCATACGGTATGTATTTGTATTACACATACTAGAAAATTGTGCACCCCGTGCATCGCACGGACTCTGTACTAATAAATGACCTTAAAATTGTGCACCACGTGCATCACCCGTGTTCACATTTTGGCCTATTACAGGTCACGTACTATATATATCCCGTACATTTTTCTTTATTCATTTATATAATTATAAGACTTGATAAATGACCTTATTTTGTGTACCCCGTGCATCGCACGGGATCTGTACTAGTGTATTCATTAACTCAACACCCATGTTGTACATGAGTATTAGTACTAGTTTTATTTCATATCAAGATCAGTGCCTCAGGTATGCAAATCCATATGCATTCAAATGTTAAATTGGTAATTAAAAAAAATATATAATATGAACTAGTTACCATTTTAATATTTGTGAACTACCGGGTGCATTTTGATAAGTATCAATTATATACTGTACAAGAATCTCTCTCTCTTTCTCTCTATATATATGTATATATTTATAGGATCACGCTCCAATGAGAATGATACTGAGTGAAAGAAATAAGAATATATCATAGTCATTAGATCGAATGATCTAATAGTTTTAAAAAAGCCAAAATTATATCTTCATTAAGGGCATTGTGGTAATCCAACACACACAAATAGGTGGGACACACTCCAATTAATACATGTCTGCCAACAACCATTACCCGCGCCCACCCCTTTGTCACCCACCCCATCTCTCTCTCTCTCATACACATACACACATGCAAAAAAACATAGCCGACACACAATCGCATTCCACCATCTGGTAACAATACTCAGCCATTACCCGCCACACGGCACTCGCCGTCTGCCGTTCACTGACCGCCGACAGTATGTTACCAACTGATGGTACCTACTCTCAGCTTTCACATCTTAAGATCGCCCGCCAGTCCACCATCAAACATCTTCTTTCTCAGCCGCCTTCGCCCTCCTCCACCGCGGTGCTCGAAGATTTCAACCTCTAGTTGCGATCGAACCACCCGACATCCTCTGCCGACCGCCGCTTCCAGCCGCAGACGATAGGGGACGACTTTACTCTAATTGGTCGAACTCTAATCGATCGATGATGGCTAAACCCGACTTAGCCTCGTAAAAAAATGAACCTAAATCGGACTCTCCGGCGTCCTCTTCTCCCAATCCGGCGACTGGACCCCGCTGGCCACCCGCGACGGATGCGGCAAACGCACAACGTTATAATAATATCTCTGCAAGAAATTGAGAATTTGACAAATCACAAGGGTCTAATTGCAAATTTCATAAACTTGAATAAATACTGCTGACACATGCATGCCAACAATATTAATTGAATGAAGTACATATTAAGGACCGATAAAAAAAAGTATATATTAAGAAAATTTTTAAAATTGAATTGTACATATTACAAATTTGACCCAAGAATTGAATTGTAATATATTAACATATAAATTTGCAATCAAGCCCTTGAAATTCATTCGATTCCCAACAATCAGTCCATCAATCACTCAATTCTAACAAAATGTCCTCCTGCCAATCTTCACCTTACCCCTGCCGCAAATGGTTTCTCACGCGACACAGCCCGACGACGGCAGTATGAAGCCTCATACATTCTTCGATCTGATATTGAATTAACTGATGAATGAATTTAGGGGTTAGGGTTTTAAGGGCAGGTTCTTTTGATCGACGTTTCAATTAGGTAGGCGAAGAGAGCTCGAGAGAGAGAAAGAGATGTTGCGATTGAGATGATAGTGGCAGCGGTGGCGGGCGGCAGCTGCGTCATGGTGGTCTGGCTGCATTCGAGTGGTAGACGGAGGTCGGGGACATAGATGGAGAGGTGGTTGCGACTGTGGCGACGTCCACTGGACCGTGAGGGCACTCGCCGGCGTTGGGGATTGTGGTCAGACGATGTCGGGCAGCGGCCAGTGGTCTGGCGGCCGACATTCAAGATCATTTTTTTTTTAAAATTTTGAGTCCAGATCGATTTTGTTATATGTGATGTAACACCCCACCTTACTAAATAAATCAGAGTTGCGCATTTATTCGCAAAGTCTTTGAAAACTAAAACATTTTTACTTTGCGAAACTGATTTGGGGTGCTACCGTGAAA